CGGGCCGCGCTGTGAAATCAGTTTTCCAATTTTCCAGTGAATTACAAATGTTTATTCAATATAGCTTTTAGCTGAACTTTGAGAAATTATAGTAAATTCTGTAGATATCCAAAAATAGTGAAACCAAGTTTGTTAGGTTCACAAAAATGCAATCTATCTGTTATTGTAGTTAGTTTATAGATAGCTGTGATAGTGATAGGTTCATAAATCCAAACAAGAGAGCTTAGTATTATGTAGATTAATAATTGTAGGAATTTTTGTGGTAAATTGGTGATAGCTATAGCTATGAAAAATTTACAGTAGGCTCACTGGATTATTATGTACTTGTTGTAAATTTTGTAGCCCTAGAGTAGGTTGATGAATAGAGTAGCTATTATCCTTGTTTTTATCATATATGGATTAAATCGGCATTAGGAGTAAGAATACTTGTAGTTGCTATGATAATGTATGTCATACTTGTTATTTGTAACAATAGGTAACTTAGTACCTTGGTCGGTAGCACTAGCTTAGTAGTTAGATAGATGTATTTGTATTTTAAGAGTTGTTGTTGCCGTTGCATCATCATTTCATGCATGTAGATCACAAGTTGGTAAAGTTTGTGCTCGTGGACGAACAGGAGTAAGAGGAAGTCATTGAGGAGTATGAGAAGGAGATCCTCATGCATGAGGGAGCCCCGGAGCCTTTTGGTGCTGACTTTGTTGACCCGCCGCCTGCCCAAGGTAAGCCCCGGTGCATAACCCATATTTTATGATCACTGAATATATATATGATGTGCATTTATGTTACAGACATTTTATGAAAACTACATGCATAAATATATCTACCTATGAGTCCTAGTACAGGTCGAGTAACTTCTATGCTCAGGATTTCGGTAGCGTGAGTAACCTGCCGTTACTCGCAATAGGTGATAATTATAATCAATCATGATAAAATGGTGGAAAGGAAAAGTGGTGACCGGGCAGGGATATGGTTTGGATACTGGTGGGTGTAAGAGGCTGTGTCCTGCGGCCAACAGGGCATAGTTTGGTTACACTTTTTCCCTGTCTATGTCAATTAAGGATCGGTCGTTGCATATGGCTCTAGGTAAGTCACATATTTATTATCCCGAGCACATACTTGGGTATGGGTGCAGGAAAGACTCGTTGCTCTCTTGTCGTGGATCCGGCTCTTTCCGGACCGACTGATTGGAGGCGGGGATGGTGGAGGTCCTTGCACCGCACTGAGTCCGAGACTCAGGAGTGGGGGCTTGGAGTCTAAGTTTGGACGGGGACCTGGACACCTAGGACAGGAGGGTGATGGGTTAGTCCAGCTTGTGCCTGGGGTACAAGCGGAGCGTGTGTTTTCGGGGTACCCAGCTGGGGGCATTGATTCGCGAATCGCCGGACGATCCGATACGGCTTGCCTACGGTTTAGCATCGTAGTAAGAACTGAAAGATGTTATGTGATAAAATAGAACTAATTGCTCAACTCTTACTTGAAAGTAGAACTGGTGCTTACATAGACAGACTAGCTAATAAACTAATACGGCTATTAATAATAACATCAATAAGGACTCACTATTAGTATTTCTTCCTGTAAAAAGAAAACCAGCAAACCATAAAGCTCACCATATCCTTTGGAGTTTGGAAATTCTTTCCACTAGTCGGATAAGTCTTGCGAGTATATTATGTAGTCAGGGTTTATTTATCCCGTTGCAGGTAACATCTGAGGAGTACCTTTGTGTGGAGGATTCATCTGGTGGGCACAGACGGATCCTTGTCCTTTATCGCTAGATATTTATTTCGATTTCCGCTGTTTAATATTCCGCACTCTGATATTTGGCAATGTAATAATGAATTTCTATGAACTCTGGATGTATGAAATGCATTAAGTATTGTAACTCGTTCTCATTATTGGATCCTTGGAGAAAAAATGTGGATCTTTCGGGTTCTCCCTTGGGGGTGTGCCCGACGGATACCGCCCGCTGTAGTTTGCTTTCGGGGTGCTTAGTGTCTGATGGAAGACGAGCGCCCCCATAAGTGTGCTATTTCGATGGTTCTGCCACAAAGTGAGTGCAAGGGAGATGGTGGTGGAGGTCATGGAGGTGATGGAGCTATCACCCTCATAGAGATGACATAATTCTACCAAGACTATATAGGAAACCAAACAAAATTTTTATTAGCTAGGCTTAGATGCTATAAGTAAACCAAACTTATTTTGCTAGCCAAGCCTGGTGAAGAAACACAACCAAACGGACCTACAGTGAAGATGGCCAAAGAGCTTTTTAGGTGGCTATGGGCAAGAGGCAGTGGGTGTGGTGGTGGCAATGCACGAATAGGTGAACAACAAAGGCGACCATGAATTTGAATTGGGATGAAGAAAGGCCCAAATACAGGAGTGAAAAAATGTATCATCTGATCTTTCATCAATAGTCTAGAAATACTGCACAGCTTAATATGTCGTTGCATTTAATTTTAAAAAGAAGTCGCTACATTTATTATTGTATTAAGGTTGCACCTAGAGATACTATGTACATAGATTTGTGTATCCACATATGCTTAAAGAATTTTTATTTTAGCATAGTTATATTTGTCATTTCTTTGTGGCTTAGCATATAACGACTTCTTAAAACAAGGCAGTTGGTTGTTGCAACGAAGGTAGTTGGTTCTATCTAGCAATTTTCTATGCAGTGATTTGTAAATAGATGCATGTGTGTCTCAAGCATGAGTTGGAGATCTCATTTGTAACCTATGGATTCAAAACTAAATAAATATTTGTAATCGTAAATCTAATCTGGCAATCATGGCATAGCCAAACTAACCATATAGTTAGTCAGATTTCTTGTGGTAGAATATATCCATTCACATTTAAATGCTCGACTTAATATTAGTGCTTGCATTTTACAATGTCATTCTTCTGGTAATAGGTTTGCGGTGACTTGGTCATCTTTAAATTTGTCGGCTAATCCTTTAGAGGTATTTATAGGGGTATGGTGTGTGTGAAGGTGAGCATCATCATCTATAATATGTTTGTAATAAAATCATGGCATAGTTTTTTTTATTATTGAAGATGCTTTGCAGCACGGCCATCCAGCTAGCTAAAAATGTATAACTTTTGTTTTAAAATGAGCTAAAAAAATATATTGTAGTAGTATGCAACCTGTGGTGTGATGGACCAAAATAAATGCAATGGAATGGAGTCTAGCATCTCCAACAATTCCTCTTCGATTTCCACGTCTCCAACAGACGTCCAACTGGGCAACTGGCCTCCCAATGTGTCCAACAAGCTTCCAATCCAAGGTTCGCTCGGACGGTTGCCTTGCCTGGTTTGTGCCACTGGCACGCGCTCTGAATAGACCTGCCCGTTGCCTTTGTTTTTGCTTCTTGCATGCTCTAGGTCACCGACTCCTTGCCCTTCTCTCTCTCTCTCTCTCTCTCTCTCTCTCTCTCTAAAAAAGGACTCCTTGCCCTGTTCTAGGTCGAAGTCGCCTCTTCTCCAGCGCACCCTTGCCACACCCCACGGCTTCTAGGCTGGCTCCTGGCCGGCGTGAGACTGCCCTGGACGTTGCTATGGCCGATCGGTGCATGGGAGGTGGCGGCATGGCGATTGTACACGCTGATCTTAAGCTGCTATTCCTGGCTACGGCTTCTGTTGATACCGGTTGTGGCCTAGCATGTCTAAGAGCAACTCCAAAAGTATCTTTATATCCTTCATAGTTGATAGAATTGGAGATTTTGGTAAAAAAAAACACTTTCCAATAGATTATTTAATTATATCTCTGAATATTATTCCTCTATTCTAGATTTTTTCTCTAGTTAAAGATAGAGAGCGGAGATGGCTCTATAGAGTACGTACAAGATATATAAAAGTTGTTGGAGCGTGTAAAAATGTGGGCAACGATTTTTATTCAATGACTCTCCAAAAGATGATTTAGAGAGTGAGTTAAAAAAAATCTTTGGAGATGGTAAGTGAACCCGCGGATCAAGCAGATTCAATCGCTAAACCACAGATTCAAAAGCTTAGCAACAAAAAGTTGAGAATTCAAAATTTTATCGGAACAAAAAATTGGTAACGGTTGGTCCACAGCAAATCTTTTGCTCCTTTCTCTTTCTGGTCGGTTTGGCAAAATCAGGTTTTTGGTAATTGTTTATATGGAATTTTTGGAGATGCTCTTATTCTCTCTTCTTCACATCCATGTGTATTTTGTCCACAACGTCAAATATGAAATATGATTCATGTGATTGGAATGAGCGAAGCAGGTTGTGTATCCTTCGTATGCGCAGATTATTGAATTAGCAAACAGAGAACTTAAGTGAAGTTCAGTATATCTTTCCCGCAAGCAAAATACACGTTGCAATCTTATTGTTTCCATTTCAATGTCAAAAAATCTACTATTGGCATCCCTCTTTAGCCTGTGTGCAAAGGCTTCTGCTCGGCAATGGGAGACAATCAGAGAAGCCGATTTTGACTTTTGAGAAGCCTATTCCAAATGCCACCGGCACCAATCGTACATTCAGATGCGGAACTTCATTGAACTGGTGTAATTGTCCTGACAGGGTCAGATAACAAACCGCAGTCAGGGAACCGACAGTCAGCCTGTTCGGCTGGCCTTATACGATCATATACGATCCATATGATTCGGTTGACCAGTGTTTAACAACTCGGCTCAAGAAAAACTGGAGAAAGACGCCGTACCATTTTATAGACAACAATACCGATAATTATCTCAAGATAAGAGATGAACAAGTGCAATAAGAATTCAAAGCCACTTTATTCTAAATACATAGGAACCATCACATTAGGCTACCTCAGAGTGTTTTTGAAAGAGAAGGATAGCGTCTTGGCATCAAGAGAAGCCATAACTCAAAACTTTAAGATTTATTATCTCCTCTAGCTTTACACAAAAAAAACATAATCCCTAAAGATCGATAAACGATATCAATATCATAGCTTTCATCGTAACATTATATTGACACTCTATCATTTCCACACTAAACGTATCAAAAAGAGTAGTAGAACCATCATGCGTACAGCTGAGCCAGATCATTCTCATACGTCTTCCTGATCACCTCCCTCTTGAGCTTGAGGGCAGCAGTGACGAGTCCCGACTCGGGGGTCCATGGCTCTGGTATCAACTTGATTTTGGCTGGTATCTCAAATTTCTCAAGTCGCGCTTGCTTTGCGGCCTGTAAAATAACAAGTGCATGTAAGTGCATCAAGTGCAGTCAAATTGTTGTCTTAACGGTACACAGGATTTGTCTTGCTTGACATGCTTGCAACTTTCAGCTTGCGTTTCAGCGCGCACATGGAAAAGGAAGAGAAAACCTCCCAAGGATATCGACGCATATTAGACAACACAATCCTAAATGTGGGAACATCTATGCCTTAGTACTTTTTGCTTAAAAGAAATAAATACCACCACTGCTTATGAAACACACTCGGCAGTGCTATTGGCCTTTGTGAAATTATAACTAATCAAAACTCTATGAATGAATATGTTTTATGCTGTGCTAGGTGACTGTTTATTGTCTTATTGCCATATTTATATTGTCGTTAAAATTAGAAAAAAACACTTCTGCGAGGCCAGCTGTAACAGTAATCAAGCATTGTGTAGGTGAACAGTTTATTTTCTTTCAAGCACTGTTTAATTTCTTTCGAAAACACTAGAAAATAGTTTCCTATTGCCATATTTATGGAAAAATGAAAGCATGGTTGAGTGAAAGATCAATGGATGCTAAACCCTTTTCTTTCATACAAAGTCACTTGCTATAAGCATTGAGTAAGGTATGAATGTGTGGTGATCCAACACAGTAAAGCAAACAGATGTTGACAGGTGAACAGAAAACACAAACCTTCGATAAAGATCCAAGCACTTCTTTAACAGTCTCTGGCTTCTGGCACAAATCTGAGAAATCACTGTATTTAATTCCTTGCTGTGAAGCCCAGCTTTCCAGCTCAATGTGTGCAGCTACCACAAGCACAACACAGTAATTGTGGAAAGGATCAGCATGGATCATAATGTTCTCCACATATGGGCTCACAATCAAAGCAGCCTCTACCTGTCATCACCTAACAAGTTAAGCAGTGTAATCAGTCAGTTGGACCAGAATAAGAATATTGCATACCTTCCCGAGGGATACATATTCGCCATGCTGAAGCTTCACAATATCTTTCTTACGGTCAATGATTTCAAGGCAGCCATCTGGATGGAATCGTCCAATGTCACCAGAATAGAACCATCGCATACCTTTTTCGTCATCCTTCACATGATATATGAGGTGTATGGTTATGGTTACAGAAATTGTGAAGAAGTTATAGTTCGATGCATGAAGTAATCTATGAATATATTAGTAAGAGAACAACATACCTTGTACACTTCATTTGTTTTAGCTTCATTCTTGAAATAGCCTTTAGTTACATTCGGACCCCCAATGACTATTTCTCCCCGAGGCATTGGTAAATCAGTAGTCAAGTATCCACCCTCAGGCCAGTCGATCAACTAAAAATACAGTGGCCGATATGTCAGGAAGTCAGGAACTGTGGGAGGTCAACAGTAAGTACTAAATACACTGTCACGAGAATAGATAAGATATCCCAGTGAGGAAAGAAGTTCAACAAGCCAAAAAAAAATCTAAGCAGGTGCATGTAAATAATCTTGAAGCTAAGAACAACCAATAACATAGGAAGATTTTCAATATAAAAACATTGTTAGACATAAAAAAAATACAAAATAGATCCACAGAAATAACATCAGGAATATAACAGTTTTGCTACAAAATTGTATCCATCTCATTGGTATGTAGTTAAGAAATGAATCTGACCTTAATATACGAACAAGCTAGTGGAGCACCAACACGACCAACAGATGTGTCATCATACTCAGAAAATGTCCCTCCAGCACAAGTTTCAGTCAGACCATAACCTTGCCCTATTGGAGCCCTGAAATTGCATAAGCCTTATCAATGTCAGACTGAAAATAGAGTGAGACAGTCATAATATATTTATCGTTTTAAATGCATGGAATGGGAACATAGGATTTCAAGATAATTGCCATCAAACAGAAATGAGGGCATACATAATCTTACCCAAGGCATATATTGATAAATCTCTGAGTATCTCCAGATAGAGGTGCTCCACCAGAAAGTACAAACCGAATCTTTCCTCCCAAAATAGCACGCACCTTTCCAAACACAAGCATATCCCACAAGAGTTTCTCCAATCCCCAGGCACCAAGCCAACTTCCATTGATTGCAGCCAGCCGACGGTTATAGGCAACGTCAAACAATTGCTTTGCTATACCACCCTTTGTATCCACCTGAAGCCACGTCAACAGAAAAGGTAGCTGTCAATAATCAACAAGGTGCACTGGACCAGAACAATGTAAAGGGCAATTACCTTTTTCCTCACACCATCACGGACACGGTCAAGTATAGCAGGTACAGCAGTCATCAATGTTGGCTTTAGTGCAGAAGCATCACCTAGAGTTCCCTTTTTTATTTTACTGGATGTATCAGTCAGGGTCAAAGGTGATCCATATCCTATCGAGGCCCCAACAGCAGCCATTAGTGCCTAAAAAGCACATTTTTGCAAATGGTGAATAAAGATTATAATAAACCAATATAGTTCTTATCTTAATTGAACGACATAGCTCCTGCCCTTGTCTTTCAAAAAAATACAATATAGTGAACAGATTTGACCCATTCTGATGCCTATTGAAAGCTACCTCTGCTGCCAACTCAAGAATGTGTGCAAGTGGGAGGTAGGCCAAGTATATATCTTTACTGCCAAGTACAGGCACAATGGTCATAACTGCTGAGAGTGTAGCCAGGACGTTGCGGTGGGTCATCATAACTCCCTATAAACAATTGAGATACATGTCAGTTCAACCGCAGAGATATAATTAGAGAATTCCACTTCACTTTTTATTTGTCCGTATAAGGCTAGTTTCAGTGGGAGTTTCATGTCCCAATTTCCAAGACTTCTCTGCGTTGGAAACACTGCATGAAACTCATTTCATCCCATGAAAATCTATATTATGTCATGTCAGCTTATTTAATGCCATGAAACCTCCACTGAGACTGGCCTAAGAAGCAACTCCAAACCTGAATTCTAGTAAGCAAGGAAAAAAAATGCAGTGGACAGAACAACAAAAAAAGAACCAGGATGTATAAAGCAAACCTTGGGCAATCCGGTGCTACCACTTGTGTACATTATCACCGCAACATCGGAAGGGAGAGGCATGTTTGCTTCAACAGGTGCTTCAGCTCCTAACCTAATTACTCCCTCAAATGACTCAACTATCCAGCTAGTGCAGTTTTGAGCTGAAGAAACTTCAGCTGAGATGCCTTCCTCATTGATATAGACAACACGCTTGACAGTATCAAGTTGCCCACTTATATCAATCAACTTTTTTAGTTCTTTCTGACCACAAACTACAGTAGTGACCTCAGTCTGGAAAGCAAAAAGGATAAATTAGTTAAAAATAGAAGCATATAAATAGCAGACAGGTGTTGATTACTTTAAGCATAGGTGTCAGGAATGATTAAATGCAACTGGTACATTCTATTAAAAAAATGCAACTGCCGATTAATTGTCTCTGTCTATAAGTGAAATGCTACTAATGGTACAGATTGATTTTGTCTTGAACTCTTGATAAACCAAGAAAAGCAGATCACATGAAAACATAACAAGCAGGGACAGCATGAGATACAACTATAGAAGTGACAGAACTGACCTCATTTAGTGAGTGACACAATGCTTCCTCACCCAATGAGGCATAGATGGTGACAACTGTAATGTTTTGTCTGAAGCATGCCTTGCAAATGGAAAAGGAAAAAGTAACTCAGAATTTTAGTGTGCGAGGATTCAATGTAACACAATATGAAGAAGATGGTAAATGAAGACAAGCAAGAAAAAAGGGAACCAAAGTGAAAGGATGTTTAAAGAAACAATTTTCTAAAAATATGCACCATGCAAACTGTTCCTGGTGACATATGCTCATCAGGTTATATATCTTTCCATGGCAAAGCATTTATCATCAATAAGAACATAACATCATTTAATATGAATGTTCTGCTATGAAGACTCCTGTCTGCATATAATTGTATAAAATGGCAAACACTGCCTAGCGAAATATACATTTGCATGACTTTCTGACTTACATCAGAATGCTAGTGGGAAGAATAAGTGGTGTAAGAAATCATCTACAAGCTGAATAACAATTCAGCCTGTAGATATTTTAACACAAGTCTTAGCGGTGCATGTCACCTAGTAACCTACAACTACCAGTAATCCTGTCTGGGGAACTCAGCAGTTGCACAGTCCATGCATTGTTTCACACTCCAAATGTACTTCTGCATTATTACAGATATGAAGTGGCTGGTGGCTTCAATTTACTGAAGTTAAGAAACAGGTGGCAATAACATGCATGTGAATAGAAACAAAGGTTGGTCTACAACTCTATATGTAGACTGACAGGAGAAAAAAAAAAAAAAAAAGAATACCTGCAACGCAATCTGCCACTCGGCCCGTGTCTCAGCAAAAATAGCAACACGTTCATTCTTCTGGTGACCTACTCGAATTAGTCCAGATGAGAAGCTGCAAACGCTCTTGAAGCACTCTGCATAACACTTCCACTCGTACTCGCCCAGATGCAACTTCTCAAATGATCTCCCGCCAGGTGCTGCTTCAGTTTCCCTTGAAATGAGCTTCCTGGTGCCAAGGAGTGGCATGTAGACATACTCTTTGCAAGATTGCTCAAACAGCTCTGCAAGTGTGGACACCCCCTCCCAGTGTGTCTCAACAGGCTGCTCAAATCGATAGTTACGGACTGCATATCCAGGCTCCCCACCAACCTCGACTGGCACTCCCCTCTTCCTTTCGGCCTTTCTCCTCTTGCGGAGCAGCAGGGAGACCGCGATGGGGACAAGAATCCCAACAAAGTAAGGATTCATAATTCTGCAGTGGTGGTGAACCTTGTAGCTATACTTGCTTGCAGGAGGTGAACTAACAGATCCACATGCCCTGAGGCGAAAACCTGCAGATAAGTACTACCATGAGTAGAAGTTTTGAAGGTTTCAGGTCTAGATTGCGATATCAAAGTGACTTTGTAAAGAAGAGACTGCACGATTAATCCTGCTATCTGACCTGGTCCATTGAGCAGTGCAAGTGCAACCACTCCACTCATGGACAGAAAAAGGACCAATTGATTTTACACCATTCTGACCAATCCGGTCAAGTAGTACAGTCTGTATAGCTATCCATTTTTGACCTTCTAATACAGCCTTCCGGTGTATGCATTTAATACTCTCATTGTCATTACAGAATTGAACTTAGCACAAGCATCCCTCCTGCTTGGTTACGGGTTACCCAAAAGTGTTTTTTTTTTTACAACAGGGTTACCCAAAAGTTAGTGGGCAGTAATAAAAGTTACTGGACAACTTTTTCCAAAAAAAGAAAAGAAAATTTGTTGGAATGATGCTATTTTCAGAAAAAAAAAATGTTGGAAGCCTCTCTCAAAGTACTTGAGAAGTGCTACATCACCGACTATAGCGCATACGTATTTGTTTTCCCTCCTCCATCTCCTCCACTCCCAATTTTTTTATTTAATAACTGTATCAGCTCATGCATCGCATGCTAATTCAGTAGCAACTTCTGAGAGAATTACACAGCCACAAGCACAGTAAACACGGAACACTCACACAGAGCACTAGTGACGAGTAATGGGACCCCGCGAGTTCCCCCGGCAGTGATTCAGATCGCGCCCAGGCCGCCGTCACTACCCGCAACCGGCAAACCCCCCTCCACCTGGAGACCACACTTCCACACCTCGACGACAACAATGAGAGAGGGGTAGGGAGCGAGCGGCAGCACCGTACCTTCCGAGGGACGACGGCGGGGGGACGCGCGGGCGGGGCCGGGGCAGCGGCGGAGCCAGTCAGCGAGGTTTCGCCTCGTCACACGTTACGGTTTGGTTCTCTCGCCACTTATGTCGCTCTCGCCGCCTGCTTGCGGTTGCGGCTGCTGCTAGCTTTCCGCCCCGTCAGGCCAGGCCCCACCGAATCCAATCCCTTCCTTAGCGGATAAGTGGGCTAGGGCCCGGCCCGAAATCATAATTAATGGGCTGCATTTTGCAGTCCGCTTTGCCATTTTTCCTACTTTGTTGCTTCTGCTGGCCCGGAATCCCTTCCTTTTGGTAGGATTTCTGCGGCCGGGCTGGGGCCCGGCCCGAAAAACGTGATTACATAGCTTTGGGGTGCTGGAGCCAAAAATTTCTCTCAGTCCGCTTTGCCTCATGCAGCTTTTGTCAAATGGTTTACTTTGTTGCTTCTGCTGGCCCGAAGCCAAAAAAACAAAAATGACTTCACTTGAAGTGAAACCGTGCCAAACGGGACCTAAATAATGGGCCGCATTTTGCAGTCCGCTTTGCCACTTTTCCCACTTTTGTTGCTTCTGCTGCCCCGTTCATTCGTACACCAGTACACATGTACGCTCTAAAAAAACAGTACACCAAATGTATGATATACTCAGCCGACGGCATTCGTATACAAATAAAAAACACTTAATTCGCTGTTATGATGTCTTTAACTAACAGTTACACTAGTGATACATAATTTCGATGACACAAAATTGATGCCATTACATTCGTATCCAAATCAAAAACACTTTCTCGTGCCGATATTCATCCTTTCTCTTCATACTTGGCACAAACCCCACACTTGGCAAACCTTCCATGGATTCTACAAAAGGGAAAATGCCTCGCTATCTTTGCTGTTCTAGTTCCTCATAAAATTGATAGATTGCTATATAAAAACATCTAACATGATACAATAATTTAGCGCGTAATGTATACATTATACACTGGGTCGATGCTACATAAGGGTCAAATGTTACAATAAGCTTTTGGTGCCTACAACACCTTATAGCGGGTTGGGGCCTTATGGGCATCAAACTTTTTGGAAAAATTGGGGGCATCAAACTAATGGGGTGCTATAACCAAAGAATGGTTGCACCAAAAATTTCATCCGGAGGCAGCCGCAAGTCTTTCTCGGTCTGTGCACTCCTCTTTATCGAACTCCTCTATCAACTCCCGTTGCCGTTGTGTCACCTCCCTGAAAACAGGAAAATTATCGTGATTACCTTAATCCTTTTGCTGAATAAAATAGAAATGAAGATCTGCTGCAGGCGAAGAGGCATACGTCGGAACCCTGATATTGAAGTGAACATACTGATTCCCAAACACTGACGAGTTCCTCGCTTTTATTCCTGAAATGTATAATATGTTAATTACAATACTATCAATTCAACAAAAGAATAGAAAAATTAATATTCAATGTCCAATATCTTCTCGTTCAACAGTTACCAAGGGGCAAAAGGCCAGAGTGAATGATGAACTAATTAAAGAATCCATTAAAAAGGGTTTTATGGTAACTCCAGTAACCAACCTTTGCCCCGGAGGACGACCTTCTCTCCTGGCTGGGTACCTTGGCGAACCTGGACAAATAATATGACAAACAAGGCAATCATTAGGACATCAACAGAACCATCCTGAACTGACTGACAAGCATCATGTAGCAAGAATTTGAAACTTTGAATGAAGTGAAGAACACATACCTTGACTGTAACATTTCCAGTGAGGGTTGGTACCGTGACAGTTCCACCTAGGACAGCCTGTAAATGAAGAAGTTTTATTGATTTAGAATTTAGCTTCTCATCATCCAAGAAAAAGGATTAATTAGACAAACAATATTCCAAAGAGCACACCAAAGTCCACACTCAAGAACATTGTCATGCATGCATATGTGCGCACAATCAAGGTCCTTTCCACCATTGAACTAGGATCACACCCACGCCCGCCTATCACTATCACACCTTGTCCTATATGGATACAAACCTCTGACCAACAGACCTACATGCTCGCTCCTTCCTACACAGTGATCTGGACTAGTGCACACTCAACATTGCCCATACCCGGTGCTTGTGAGTGCCCATGACAGTGACCTACACCCTGCCTGGCCATGCCTACTTGCACTTGCTGCCACCCTACTCACACGTTGCTCCAGTGATGCCCATTTACCGTTAACATATCTACGGTGACCACTACAGATCAAGAGTGATGATGTGACATAGCATTCAGAAGAGTCAGGGGAGGCTTGAGCAGAGCAGGTGCGAAACGAGAAATTTTGATGACATCCAATTCATGAGCCTTTCAAGATTTGATAAGGCCAGTGGGTCAGATAGCAGATCTGGCCAGTTAGCAGCAGAGAGAACCTGTGAATCGAAAATTCAGATTGAGGGAAAGTGAGGGGGATGGAGAAAAGAGGAGGAAACCAAACATATGAGAAAAAATAGATATCTCAGGTGTGGTAGGTAATTTCTTGGATTCGATGGATGGGATCACAAGGGCAAAAGGCATCCAAGCACTTTGTTCATTCTGACTGCATACCTTTTGTCAATTTCTCTCTTCAGAAAAGATGTCTTAAGATGATTAAATCTTAGCTCAAATCAGGATACTTCCATCACAAACTATGTGATCATCATACAAAAGAAAGCAGGATTGCTAATATGTGTTGCTAGTAAGATAAAAATGTATGTTTGCATTTTATTGGAAACAAAGATGAAAATGGCATAGCATGGACATGTACCTTGATCAGAACACTTACTGAAAGAAAAAATAAGAGAAAGACTAACCTGAGCAATGCTTAAAACAGAATCAACATGCACATGGTTGCCTTCTCTTCGAAAGATAGGGTCCTCTCTGACCTGTGATAGGAAATGAAAATGAATTTCATTTTATACTTCCATGAGACCTTGCATAGTACTGACTAAACTGAGAGCACGAGTGGCATTCACAGCAAAAAAAAAAGAAATTAAACCTTGATAGTAACATAAAGGTCACCAGGCTTATTGCGTTCAACATCTGCACCACCCTTACCAAAAACCTTCATGGTGTCATTATCGTCAATTCCTGAAAAAAACGCTTCAGTTATAATGTACCCAAAGTCCTGTCCACAATAAACACTTGAGATTGCATGATTGTAGGAAAGAGTAAAATGTTAATGGAACAGGCAGAAATGCAGAATGATTCAGTAGAACCATATTTTATAATAGAGCAGCTAGATGATTTGACTTGAATATTAACTTTCTTAACTTAGCAGTGCATGGAAAGTGATGTCTGAGTTATAACAAGTACACCAGTTGGAAATGCTTATAACACCACAAGTTTACACTTCACAGCATTCAAAAAAAATTCTCAAACTACGCAGGAGAATTCACAGCATTCAAATCACCAGTAGAAAGAAAGAAATACATACTGTTTTGCATATTGAACAGAAAATTCAGAATTGTGTGATAAGATGTATTACCTCCATTCCAAATTATAGGTTGTTTGGAACATAGTGTATATATCTAGGTGCATAGCAAAATCTAAGTACCTACAGAGCCAAAACGGCCTATAATTTGGATGGAGGAAGTTCATCTCAAGTATATACATATATCAGTAAAGAAAATTCCTCCTTACCTGCCGCTATGTCTAGCTTGACTGACATTTTCCCCTTCACTACCTGTTCTCCTTTGCAAGTCTTGCAAAAACTCTACAAACCAATTTTGAAAAGCAAAGAAGTTAGGCCAACAAAAATGAAAAATCATCACCAGTGATAAACCATATAGATATATTCTATAAAATGCTGGCAGATCCCCCCCGCCCCCTTAAAGAACTAAGTGCACTCAATGCAACGACCATAGCCAATGATGAATTGGATTTTATGTTCAACTTACTGTGGAATGTAACATCAGAAAAACAAAATTAACAGGAATATGTTATTGAAACAGAAAAGGTGCACCTTGACAATTTTTCCGCTCCCACTGCACAGGGAGCAAGTACATTCAACAGTAAATATACCCTTCTGCATGTATATCTGCATTCATGACAAGATTTTGAAGGTCAGAGTAGTCCCACTTATCCAATGTAGTTGTCTTTGGAGCTCCAAGAACAAGACGGAACAAGGAAACAATTAATGCTTTCTGTTCCAGGGTGTTTGGTGAACATATTGCTTTGAATAACCAAAACAACAAGTATTTGCAAAGGAAATCAACTTGCTAAAATGCTGTCTACTATTTAGTGGAGTTTGTTATCTGTAAGAAACATGCCATGTAAAAATATGTTGCCAAAGGATACATACCACACCAGAGCCTCGACATGTTTTACATGTTTTAGGCACAGTTCCAGGGGGAACACCACTTCCATCTGCAACAAATAAATAAATTAGAAGCTCATGACATACAACGAAGCACAAATGGGTAAGAATGTCAACAGAATAAATAATTAAATATACAAGCAACATCACATACTGCAAGTTCCACAAAAAGTATCAGCTTCGTATGTAATTGTTTTTCTGCAACCTTGGACAGCCTCCATGAATGATAGTTCAACAGAAACCTACAGTTGGCGGGAATAAAGAAAGCAAGAATTGAATTAATATGCTCAATTAAAAGCAAACAGCTGTAGTAAAAATCAACTAACCTTGACATCTTGGCCACCTCTGTACGCATTATCAAAGATCTGTTGACATAACAAAAAAGATATATATCAGGTATGTATGTATGTATAACAATAACATATAGCTAAATACATATAGCAAGGAGTGAAACTATATACACATAAAGAGAGATTGAATAGCAAGAAGAGAAATTTGCTAGATACTGAAAAGGTACTGTTTCAAATCATGTTTAGACTGCCACCTGACATGAAAGGCCAATATGATGTTTATTTCAACATAAAAAAAAACATTGCAGTTCATCATATGTTGTAGACAGGCCTGACAATGAAGAAAAAATAATATAACTAGACGAAATTTTACAACCTTGTAGCATGATTTTTCATGGCCACCTGCCAACAATTTATTGTTTTTGCATGCATTTTTTTTTACAAAGGCAGCATACAAAATAATTGAGGAGAAATATCACATATTTATATTGTGATTCATAGATCTCATGCATAACTCACCAAATGGCGGGTGTATAAAAGACAGTACAGATCTATTTAGGGTATATGTATGATACATAAAATAAAACCACAAGGACAATGGTTTTTACATCGCCAAAGATGTCGCCAAATGGGTTACCCTGAGGAAAACCCGGCCCTCCAGGGTCACCACCTGATGCTTGACGCTCATATGCTTCTGGTCCAAGCTGCCAATTACATAAGCATGTTATACTAAGAATAAAATATTTTACTGTAATGGTAAAATAAGGTTTCATGAGTCATGGAAATTAATGCTACCACAAGCTAAGCAAGCTGGATTAACACAAAAAAGCACATGCTGGCCAGCTGGGTTCAGTATTAACAATATATAAATAATCTGTCTCTACGTGACTATTCCAATAACATCACAATTTTCGTTTCATTAAAAAGAGAAATGACAATAACCTGATCATATATTTCACGCTTATCATCGTCCTTCAAAACCTGACAAATGTACAGATAATATCAACATTTAGGGAAAAAAACATGTACTATGGTTCATGAAAGGTAACTACATTTTCTGCAAGAACCTCACACCTCATAGGCACGGTTAACTTCTTGAAAAATTTTTTTCTGCATCAGCATCATCTTTATTAGTATCAGGATGGAACTTCTTTGCGAGCTGGAGAAGAATGATAAATTTTGTTAAAACCAAATGAATTACCAGATAACAGGAAGAAGTAGAAGAAACAGATCAATGGGAGCACAAATGGAAGAAAATAAAATATGGAGAGCATGGTGCAGTAGGCATGCAAGAGACAGTTAATAAATACATAAATGATAGCAGTGCCAAATGGATCCCAAGCCACAATCTGGGTTGGGATGGAAGTAAGTTCCTATTTGTGGAACCCCAGTTGGCTGACTTTGGCCTATTCTACCAGATTCTTGAGTTATCTGTCCATCTTATCATTCAGATGTCATCTTTTGCATTGAAAATGTTTCTGATTATACATACAGGGGAAGCAGATCATCTTAAGTTCTTGACAAGTTCAACACAGTTTTAGTTTATGTTTCCTATACATGAGTTTTGAAATTCAAAACAGGATTAGCATGGTGAGTAAGGGACAAGTGCACCATGCAGTCAGATGCAGGGCCAGGGGAACTGATTCCGGTGCGTAAGTGCCTAACCAACTAGTTGTAGCCTTGTAGGTATTACCCAGGCAAAATAAGATGAGCAAAAAATAGCATGAATAGAAAGGTAGTCAGATAGGTCTTGTGACAGTTGCTCAATAGAGGTTAATCATTCATGTATCGCCAATACTTCACTAACATAGCCATACTTGTATCCAATACTTTCTCTACATTACCATAGGGTTGTTTTTCAAAATCCTGTATCGCCATTACCGGTATCCCATGCCATACATAGTTAATCAGTATTAGACTAAGTAGCAGACTATAGAGGGAAGAGTACAATAGATCTGTCAGAGGCAAAGCAAAGAGCGTAAGAAAGGCAGAATAGAGAAGAAAAGATAAGAAGTAGCAGAAAAGCAGCACAAAGCAATTGAAGCAAATACGAGCATAAGAGAACTTGAAGAGATTACAGGAGGTAGAGAAGCAATAGGGGAGGAAGAGAAGTGTAGTGGGTAAAGTGCCTTGGATCTGGAGAGAGACGACAGCAACAGAAGATATGAACTTCGATTAAGAGAGAAAATTTGGCAAGAGGTGGAGGAGGCTCCGACAGAGTTTAAGGTGGAATAGATTAATCTAGTGCTTGATCTCCCAGATGAGCCGACCCTCATACATATATAGGTCAACTGCTTGACAATTCAATCAAGCCAACTAACTTATATCTAGTAAACCTTCTCAAACTAACTCAATTAACCTTCTGATCATGTCACCTGAGACATCAGTAGGTGCGGCCATAGGCGTCCACAACAGCGAACTAAGGGCAACTATCAGCTGGAGACAATGGGAACTTAGGCCCTCAAAGCAGCAAGGTTGAGATCGAACAGTAACATTGGGGGAATAAGGAATATCCAAATATGATCCCCAAGAAGTTTAACGATATCCAATCAATAGGCAATATCCTAACTTTGTTTCTGAAAGGAGGTGCGCATCCTAACTATGATATGTAAAAAATCCATACCGCATAATATGACTTCTTTATATCCGGTGCAGAAGCATCCTTGCTTACTCCAAGCACATCATAGAAATCCCTTGCATACACCCGCCTTGTGGCTAGCATCACAGAAACATAGATGTTTTAATTACAGGCACTAATGTATCACAGTTAATAGGAAGCATGTCTGAAACTTAAAAAACAGTAGTAAGAAGCAACCCTAAGTGCCAACTTAGAGCACCTTGCTATCTATTTTTCTTCGTTTGCACCAGCAATATCATCGACGGTGATGGGGGACAACACAGTGCTGCCATGGCTGCGATGGATACGGTGGAGGTGAAGACTCCATCAAATTTGATTAATTTTCTTTTCTGACATGGTCTCTCCTGTATTGGTTATTGTTTTCCTTAATATAATTCAGGTATGAGATACTCTAGGGTGTCTTTAAAAAATAGCGTCAGTAACCGGCGAAGTCAATCCTGTTACTTATTTATTTGTTGAGTTATCTTGGTACCTCAATTTTTTATAAGGAGTACCTCATGTTGTGTTTTATCTGTAGCCTACCACAACTTGCTTGGGAATAAAAGGTTTGATGTTGTTGTTGTAGATGCATTAAACCATTTAAATTTGTGGTTTTGGGACAATCTTAAGTAATTGCATAACCATCTCAGTTAAGTATTAGCCAAGCATTCTTAAACTAGTCAAAATTACGCATGAAAAATAGGAGTTCTGTTCTCTCTTTTCAGACAGAAAGGGGCAGTTATTGTTCTAAGAAAAATCACTTTCTCATTTTGTTTTTTCATTCATAGTGTTCAAACAGAAAAACATAGAAAAAAGTGTCCCTTGGTATTCACAAAAGCTCTGCTAAATGTGCAACTATTTTCTTAGAACTCAAGTGCAAGTCAAGATCAGAAGGCCAAAGTCACCCGGGATGGCAGCTCTTAAATGAATCGGATGATTTAAATACATGGTTGTAATGGAGTTATACACAAAAGGTAAAAATGTTGGCTCCCCGGATAGAAAGCAGAAGATAGAACTAATCTTAACCAGAACATGAGGTCTTGGTTTCAATTGTCACTACAGTATATCATCAGATTTCAACAACTATGAGGCCAGCTGTAGCAATAAACCAAACGACAACTAATTTCACAAGATGAACCACTGTGTATGGCTAAATGGAAACGTGGAATTACACTAGGGTCATCAATTTGACCGAAGTACTAACCATGGAACGACCTGCTCGGACACCACCAGCTCGGGCTCCGCCGCTCCCTCCCTGTCCAATTCACCGATAAGCAACACAGGCCTCCGCGGACAATACATTCAAAAAGCATAAAAATTTTGAAGAGAAGGCGACTTACCTGGTTCAGGCAGCCGCGGCGGTGCGGTCCACGCCGAGGCGGCAGCGCCGGCGAGGTGGCGGGCGAACAACTCGCGCTGGCAACGGAGGTGAAGGGGTTAGCCGTGGAATTCGGGACTGGATGGAGAAGTGAGGAGGGGAGATGAGGGAGCTCACCGTAGAGGAAGAGTTCGCCGCGGCGGCGAGCCTGGAGGCGGCGGCGCGCGCCATGGGGGTGGAGGCGGGCGGTGGCCAGGTGGGAACCCTACTTTGCAGCAGGTCGCAGGCACAGAGAGTGGGGCTTTACCGCACGAAAAAATGGGAGGGTTTTAGATTTCGATTTTGGAAAACTTACTTATATTTACTAAAATAATTAAACAAATATTATAATACATGTTAGTGGATGATTTTTAGCATTCTGATATGAATAACTAAATATATGATAAGTAAATGATGTGGTTTGCTAATGAGAATAGATTGAATAAAGACATAATGACATTTGTTAGTTGCATATGTTAGTAGATGCTAATGTAGACATTTTGTATGATGAGATAGTTGAATGTGCTAGTGGGATGTTTCTAGTATATATTGATGTGGACACTTTGTATGGCAAGATAAATTACTAGTGGGGTTTATCTTTATAAGAGATATAGATTATTAATACCTTGTAAAACTTTATGAATTCATTTTTTTGCGAGGAAAACTTTATGAATTCTCTATATCTTACATTCTTGCACCACTCTGTTACGGATCAAGTTTAAACTTTGTTTTTTTCTATGAAAGATTTGTGTTGTCATGATCCAAATCCATTGCCTAGATTGACATCTAAGACGTGATATGAATATGATGTGATTTTTTGATTTTTTGGGAAAGTGGATTATTTGAAGCCATTGTTTTTTTAAGAAGAGTAGGTCCGAAGATATTAAAGTGTTACAGAGTGAGCTAAAATGAGTGGCAAATGTTATGGTCAGTAGTGGAACTTGTTGAAGAGGTGGAAAGGATACAAGGAGCGAGGGGTAGAGTTGTTTCCCTCTATCACCTCGTTCCAAATCAGTCTCCCATCACCTATAGTTTTTTTATCAATTGGGATCGACACCTTAAATTACATGGGCAACACCGCTCAAAACCAAAAGCATATAAGAACATTCGTAGAGGTACGTTGCCATAGTAGACTCAACCTTCCCCTTCCCCATCCCCACACCACACGTGCATCATTTTCAATGCATCTTGTGTAAGTGCACGTATACTACCACACAATGCTTAGCTATCTTGGTAGTTGCTACTTATCTTCAAGGCTTCGTGAACTAGATGTTTGGATGTATGTCTCGTCATCTCAAACTCGTAACCAAGCTTGTTGCTCTAGCACCTCATGGATGTCATGTTGTCTACAACAGTATGTTCTAAAGCTTTGTTGCCCCCCACCTCCCCCTCCTCTTTTCAACGCGAGCCCGCCACATAAAAGGCGATGAAGTGGGAACAACCGATCAACAATAACAAATGCCTTTGAGGTACATCAAACCCTAAATTTGCAACAGTTATGAACTTTATTACATCCTAAATAGCCATTACAACACAAAAAAACCAAACTGATAAGTTATGATCCACCTATGAAGATAGAAAATATTTAGTGATTGAGCGTTAAAAATGAAGGAAACCACACACTACATCACAAAAAATATTCAGTGCCACAAACAAAGACCTTTTGACACCATGGTGAGCTTGTTGATGTCGTGGATCATGTTGGTATGTAGGTATTTCAATTAAAAAGAAGGCAAGAAGGTAGTAGAGTTGAAGATTTACGTGTGTGTGCAAAGACACGAGGAGCATGATGAGCCTTTATCAGAGCAAAACCAACCCACTATGTATATCACATATATGTACAATAGTCATCTTTTAAGTCGAATAAACTTTTAGTCAATTTTATACACACGACTAAACCTTTTTGTACCTAGCATATAATATAGGTCTTAAAAATTTTATAATTTAATTGAGTATAAAATAAGCTAAGTCCATCAAATTCAACGATAACTAACAGCGTGTTTGGTTCATGGTTCAGGAGTCGGTCACGTCCAGAATCAGTACGTCCGCCATGGATTCACTCTTGCTAGGATCGGACACAGACTTGACGTTGTTTGGATTAGGGAACCAGCTGGCTTGGACGGACGACGGACGGAGTCATCCGATGGTTTTTGAAGGAAGCAGTCAGTAATGCATTTGTACTGGCACAGGAATCATCTGGTGACGGACGACTTGGCTCCATACGGCAAACCAAACGTTGGGTCTAGGCTCGGACACAGGTTCGGATGATCCTGCACGGGTCTACTACTCAAACCAAACATGCAGTAAACTACTCTACGTTTCCATTATATCGCTACTGAGACATAGAAAGATCTTTTATCTTATCGTCTATAGTTTCCTCCTTAGCGATGAAGTTATTTTAGTTTTCTTAATTTTTAATCCCTCTTTGTTTTGTCCCATGAGATCTCCACACCTTATTTTCCAACCTTTGCTCTCTTTGTTGTCTCCCGTAAGATCTCCTCATAATATGTGTTTCAGTTTCCACTTCCCAATTATTTATCTCCTCTAAAAGTTCATAACTAATTAACTATAGATACTATACTTCGTTGTTTATTTTGTATTTTTATTATCCTCTCTTATCATATCATCCTAGCATCAAGTGGTATGTCAATGAAGATAAACGTGATATCAGTTTGGGGTCATTTCATTATCATCACTTATATCAATCATTGTGTACAGTGACATGTCTTTTTTATAAAATCTCCACTCCATAGCTCATCATGTGAAGTTTAAATCCATAAACACAAAACTGGTAAATTCTGAGGTTGTTCGGGGATAACATATTTGTGACAGAACCGTCCAATTTATACAAGATCAAGTACGGTTGTCCCCGCTAACACGTTGACACGCACCTACTTTCACTTATATAAACCCGGTAGTCCGCCGAGTGTCCCGAAAGACCTCGGTAAATCAACATCACAACCAAGATCGCGTGATTAAGTAAATACACATCACATACGCAGAGTTGCAGCAAAAATAATATTACAAATGGGTTCACAAATAATAGTACAAGTTTGGATTTCAAAACCAATTATTAAAAACAACATAGCTTTCAAATGATTACATTAATATAAGTTCCAAATACATTGCTAGCATAAGTGACATCCTCAGACAAAAGCATATAGATGAGAAGTAAATATAGAATCACCGAGCCCACCGGCGGTTAGCCACCATCATCAACAGGTCGAGAACTTCACCTACAACAAGGTGGGATAAACCCTGAGTACTCGAATGTACTCAGCTAGACTTACCCGTATTAAACCAAAATAAAGTGACACCAAGAATTATGCAAGGCTTTCTTTAGTGGGCTAGCTGACTTATTTGCGAAAAGCATAAGCTATCATGAAGACATCATTTTAAATACTTTGCATCATCTTTATTATAACCTATTCATCTAGGTAAGCACCTGTACTATAGCAATCACTTGATTAACCAATAACATCCAGTTACCAATTTAGCTTTAGCATGTCCATACCATCTAGATAACCATCATTGTTCTCTAATAATTACTACGATGCCATAACTCGAGTCAAGTGCTCACTATCCAGGAGCGATGGCGATTCGAATCGATTCCTAACCAGCTGGTGATTTATTCCTCACACAAACCACGCTTCCCCGTCGAAGTTAGATCACCAATGACACTTTTCAAGTAGCATAACATCATGGACCGCACTACTAGTGTGTTGAGGGCTCACTCTTCGCGTCCCGTCATACCCTCTTCAGATGATCCGAGTTTATCCCGGCTCGAAATAGTGTCACTAGCTTCAAAAGGTACTTTATTCGCCAGCTAAATGTGAGGCATGCGCTCAACATGACAAGAGGGACGAGCAACGATCGGTCCTTAATCGAACCAAAACCACCGTCTGGTTGCCTCCAACTTTTTCCGTCCGGTCTCCAATTATCCATCACACATGATTAATTCCAGGATATCATTCTTTCTATAGCTAAATTCTTCCAAAGAACCACCTATAATATAGGTGAATATCACCGATCGCTACCGGTCTAAGCAAGGCTAAGCAGTTATTCGATCCTCGACCTAACAGGTAAAAGGTAATAAGGTAAAGGATAGTAATAAATGCATCAACGGTTTCAATCAACTCCTACAACTTAATGCAACAATATATAAACTCATATAGAAAGAATTGCTTTTATAAATTAGGAAACTTATAATGCTCGGGGCTTGCACGGATCCGACACAAAGACTTCCTAGCACTCGCTTAGTCCTTCCATCTTCTGGATAGATCCATCAAACACCGTCTTTCCTTGGCTCCAACATCTCATCCTTCACGTGGTGCATCTAGCGTACCTAGATGAGATGCAATATGCAAGTGCATAAATATGAAGAATAGTACCATGAGACGCATCACAAAATAGCAAGCAAGACAAGCATAGTTTACACTAACACACTTAAGTACTTTGCGATGCTTAACTTAAACATCACACAATCTATCATGCTAAGATGGCAAAGAAGACGACAACACCAAGCACGACACAAGTTTCCCAAGATCTCAGATGCTCTAACTCAGTCATCATTCAAGGCATAAGTCACACTTAACAATATACAAGCAAACACTATAATTGGAATCTGCCAATTTCTAGACATGCAAGCAGCAGCTACAAGATTTAGCTATAACTGGAGTTACACAAATCCAAATGACTTGAAAGAAGACATTATGGAAAGCTTATGAAATTATCTACATTTCATCTATAACCATCATAGCATGATTCTCAAGTTAACTAAGTCAAATATACACATTTACAGAAACTGGTCTAAACAAGACAGAGAGCAATCAATTCTGTAACCCAACTTTAAACAGCTGTAACTCTTAAACTACTACGCCAAATGACACCAAATTTTAATAGAAGCTAGATACATGAATTATCTACAACTTTTGTATAAACAAGTTTCACAACAAAGCACATTATCATGAAGAACTTTGCTAAGTTCCTAGATCTATTCATAAACCACATCGGCAAGAAAATAATTATTAACTTATGTTGCAAACACATAATTGGGCAAAACCAACTTTACCAACATGTCACACATGACTAAAGAACACCATAAAGCATGGTGCTCACCTCTAAATAAATTTTCTTAAAGCATTTCTTAATTTATTTAGACATCAAGGTGTATTTATGAACATATACCAAAA